GACCACCTTGCCTTTACCCTTAACAATTGAGGTTGCAAAATTTCACATGAACAACTTTTCACCGTTTGAAACCGATTCGAAAGTTGTGAACATCTTCTTCTCTGCACAGATATGGCAAGTGGCCCTAGTGTCCACCCACCACTTCTTCGGGTTGGAACCCACCATGTTCACTTTGAAGATGACAGTTGCTAGATGCATATCATCCATATCTTGTTATAGATCCTTTATTTCAGCCATGTGGGCACGATTCTTGTTCTGTGGAGGGTACTTGTTGTAAGGCTTTTTTTTTTTTTTTTTTTTGCAACAATCAACCACCCGATGCCCATCACTTCCACAATTGAAGCACTTTCCATTGAACCTAAAAGTAGGTTCCTGCGGCTTGTAGACTGGCCTTTTGGAGACACCACCTCTTGCCCATAGCTTTGAGTTTTTGCCTATCGGTGGCTTTTTCTTTACCTCTGAGGGCTGGCCATGCTCAACCACGTTTTCTTTCACTGTAAGAAACTAAATTTTTGGACAACTAATTAGTTTGTTAATAACAATATTAAGTCAATTAATAGTGATTATTAAATTATTAAATTATAATGTTAATAGCACCATAATTAATACCAATATTAAATTCCTTTAAATAAAATTATTTATCTTTCTGTGATTAAATTTTTGTATGTAAATACAGTTGTGGAAACTAAATGAGTTAAATAAATAGTAACTAAATTAACCAGAGGATAGTAGGGAGAAAAATATCTAGTGACTAGGTTATATATATTCCTTGATTTTTATTTTTCTACACACACCAGAAAAAAAAATTGGAATCATATTTTTTTTTTTTTTTGGGTAGAGGAATTCGGCCACCCTTCCTTGGGAAGGAAAAGGGCTGTTGAGAGCAAGCATGCTAAGGCATGCATACAACCACACCCTAGGCCTATACATTGTAGGTAATGCTCCCAAGAGAAGAAGAAGAAGAAGGGAAAAAAAATTGCCTCCAAACTCCTACAAATAGAACACTATTTCAGCCCTTTCATTTATATCCACATGGCTGAGGAAAAAGAAAAAAAGAGGAAGAGAAGAGGGTGCTTGGTAGTCACCATTTCAAAACTAATCTTAAGAATAGCTTGTAAAAGCTCTTGAGGTAGGAATACTCAACCTCTATCCTCCCTTAGATATTTTTTTTTAACTGAATCTATATATTAAAAATATGCAAAAGTGTGCATTGTTAATACACACATAGCAAGAATAGCTCAATGCATGTTTACATTTTGATAGAATAATAATTTCTTAATTATGTGATTTCTATTCTTTCTTGCAAGCATAGATTAGATGGTTTAGCTACTGATTTTTTCTTCTTATGTGTTCAAATATTCTCCATTGTTTAAAATAATCTTACATGGGGGTAAAATGAGATAAGGTTGGTTTATTTTTACTCGAAACTTATATTTTCTTCACTGTTTTCAAAACTTTTTTTGTTTTTCTTTGAAAAGTTTGAAATAAGTTAGGGAACTTTGTCCTATATCGGAAAGAGAGGAAAACATAGAACACTTAATAAAGTGTTATATGAAATATTTCTTTGAATGTAGAATTGTGAGGTGAAAGTCCATTAGAAATGCTATTAATGTCAACATCATACATGACTAAAACAAGGGTGTAAATTAATAGTGTTTTACAAAGCATGCTCTGTTTTTTTAAGGAAAATGTCATGTTATGTGTACATTTAGTAAGAGTCTCTTGCATTAGGTTATCCTTGGATCATGTTTATTTGCGAATTATGTCAAATGAGATTATAGGTGCAGTGAGACTGAATAATGAGATTATTAGTGCAGTGAATGATTAGATTATAAATATAGTGAGATTGAATGTTTGTTATCATTACAGTGATGATGCATAGATACAGTCCAAAACATGGTCATTCTAGCATTAATATTTTACAAAACAAACATGATTTATGGAAAGGTAACCAAATTGTTATTTCAATCCCATAATTTACGAGGTAAAACGAAGAGATCTAAATTCTCTCTAACACTTTTTTCATCCCGTCATCATTCTGCAATTAATCCAAAACTCACAAAGCATATTCTTCATTCAGTTTTCATCCAACAGTTGAACCAAAAGTCAAACAACTAAAAATTTGTTATTATCACTATCTATGGCTTTTAAATAAATTATTGGATGACAACAATGAAAAAAATTATAGAGAAGATCTTTTTCCAAAACATGAAGGAAAAACCATAGCATGAGTCAATAAAACTAAACAAACACAAAATTCCAGAAGAATGGCTCCTTTGAGGGATGTCATAGTCAAATGCAAGGAAGATTAAACCACTTCACTAAGGATTGAGACAAAACAGTGTAATACCACTGCGCCTGTTGGTTTAGAGACTAATCATTAATCAATTTCCCTTTCCAAAAACTATAATATAATAATAATAATAATCAAGAATTGAAGTACAATGGCATACAAGGGTGTTTTAAAAAGTTAGTAAAAAATTAATTTTTTTGACTTTTTTTAGTTTATTTTGTCTTTTTGTGAATAAGTTAAGTGAGAGGTGATGTGACCCAAAATTGATAAAAAACTGAAAGCTGACTTTTTACCAGTTTTTCAAAAGAGCACATAGGTTAAGTTAGAAGATAGTGCACATAGGTTAAGTTAGAAGATAGTGTCAGAAATTACAATGGTGTTGCATAATATACTCTAAAACTTTTTTTTTTTTTTTGGGTCTATAATTTAATAATGAAATTTCTTATCACAGGTCATGTTAAGAATTTCTAACAGAATGGGTACAACTTTTGTCAAAATTCTAGGGCTTCCCTTCAAAAATTTAGCTAAAAAATAATTTGTTGGCTAAAGTAAAACCATATTGCGTGAACTAAAATATTATGTAGTGATCTTAGCATCATAGTTCAAATCATCTGATGAAAACTAGTTGTTGGTTATATATGCAAGCAAAAAAATGAGGGAAAAAAAGAATATATCAATTTGCTTCAATGCTGAGGAAAATATAAAAGAAATAATTTTAGGTACTATGAAAATTTAATCATAATTACCGAAAGTGTAAAGTATAAATTTAAAATGAGTATGATGTGAGTAATATACTAATATGCAAAATAAATCTTATCCACATATTTCAATTTTGCTTTAAATTTTAAATCATTTTTCTAAGTGTATAGCACAACTCAACAAAAATACATACACATAGCCTCCGTTTGGGAAGTGGGTTGGCTTTTTGACTTTTTTTGGCTATTTTAGCCTGGGCTAAAAAGTTTGGTTTGGAAATAGCTTTTTGACTTTTTGACTTTTTTTGTGAGAGAAGAATGTAATGATTATGAGTTGGATGTAATATTTTGTTTTTTGTGGCTAAAATAACCTATTTTGTCTTTTGTGACTAAAATAGTCAAAAAATACCCCATTTAGCTCTTGCCAAACGGAGCCATAGCAAGGTTACTTGCATGGCAAGCCTAAACAATAGTTTTTCGTTTTTCATGATTGATGGATAAGAGTTTTCAACTCAAACAAAGATGTCAAAATTTTATTTTCATTCATTTTACTTTTTTTGCGCATTTTTTTTTTTACAAAGTTAAAAAATTATTTTTAAATATTTTAATCTTTTTTAACTAAAAAGTCATTTCCCAAACAAGCCCTTATTCTTTTGGTTGATTAATTGTGAATTTTTGTTTTGAAATTTATTTCTAAAAAGAAGTGAATGATGTAAATTTAAAATTGATAAAAAATGTGAGTCAAATCGAAATAGCTGTGGTCCTACATATCATTTTCTTAGTAATTTTTCTAGTATTAGGATTGTTCTCTTGATAAGTAATATATACTTTTTTTTGTGTGATTTTTTTCCTTCCAAAGGCCAATGATTTGTCATGAAATGTTTGTCCCCTCCGCCAAGAATAATTAAATAAAAAAGTCAAGTTGTTGTTCTCTACTCATTGATTAAATATATGGAGGATAATATTATCCAAGCATAATTTATATGCTTATGTAAATTAAAAGAGTCATGCTACTATACATATTTTTTTAAAGTGTGTATTATATGTAAATTATGATATTTGTGATATTAATTATCATAAATAAATTATTTTTAATCATAACTAAATAATAATAATGAGTCATAACCAAATATCGCCTAAGTATATTCAAATACAATTTCAATCCTAATCAAAATAATAATCACAACAGGTTATGACTATCATAATGAGTCAATTAATACCATAATGAATCGTAATTAATTAACACTACAACATGTCACAATTAAATATCACAAATGCTATAAGTGAGACATATGATACACACTCCAAAATCGGTTGTATTATAGAATTTTTCAAAAAATTAATATAGATAATGTGAATAACTTGCATTCATTCATTAAAAATAAAAATACTCATTGATATGAATCATAATTATAAAGATATTATTATCACATAATATATATATAGACCTCGTTTGGAAAATAACAATTATAGTCTAAAAAATCACTACAAATTATCAAATTACTCTCTATTTTTCTTTTTCTTTTTTGGTAAAAATTTTAAAAATTATTAAAATAACTAATTTTCAAACCAGCCCCTCCTATTTATTAAAAAAACACATGTTAACATCCTGAGAAGGTGACTGGAAAACAGCTGGAAAAGAACATACTTTTGTCTCACTCTTGAGCTTGTCCATAGTATGTTTTTCTTTATAAGAAAAATATTTAGTAGTTTGAATTAGTGTGGTCCGAATAGCTCAGATTTTGTATGATTCGAATAGCTTGGATGTATCAAAATGACGTCATTTTGAGACATTTGAGCCATAAAAATTCAGGTTACCCAGCATTGTTGTTCTATATAAATACTCAAAGGGCATTGTTATCAAGAGTCAACACTCATTCCAAATAAACTTTAGCCTTGTTAACACAATGAATACCAAAACGCAGCCTAAGTTTCTCCAATCACCATGGCCATTCTTCAACTACGTAAACTCACCTTTTTTATTCAATGAATTTGGAGATTTTGGATTGGCTATGGATGTTGACATGGATGACGACAACTTCGACTTCTGTCCTCCTTTCATCACAACCGAGGACTACTCCTTTGACAACTCTAAAATCTCAACCTTCCCAATTCCAACCACTTTACTTGACAAGTTTTCAGACCCTCAAGTTCATGTCAAAGATTCAGATATTGCGTTGCCAGAAGATGGTTTTTCGATATCTGTGGAGGATTTTGATATTGAGGTATTGTCAAATTCGTTGAAGCAAAGTGAGGAGAGTTTGCAACTAACTTTGCCTACTGAAAACATGGAACTCAACAATGCAATTCATCTAATCAAAGCTTATAGAGAAGCCATTGATGAAGGGCAGATTGAGCTTTCTGAGGTGATCATGAAGCGTATAAGCGAGAAAGTGAGTCCGGTTGGAGGAGTCATGGATCAGCTTTTGTATTACTTGTTCCAACCCGTCGACAAGCAAGCTGACTACCTTAGGCAAGAGTCTGACAAGAACTTCCGTGCAGCTTTCATGACATTCTACCAAATATTCCCATATGGGAAGTTTGCTCATTTTGCGGCTAACCGAGCAATCCTCCAAGCCATGCCTCATGATGTGGAGCTCATACATGTCATTGACTTTGACATGGGGGAAGGGATTCAATGGCCTTCAATGATCGAAGCTATCGGATGGCAACAAAGGAAGGAGATCAGACTTAGGCCTCGTTTGGGAACAGGCTAATTTAGTAACTTTTTGGCTATTTGGCTAAAAAGGTAGGTAAAAAAAACTTGTATGTTTGGGATGACTTTTTGGCTAATTACGAAAAACTGTGCAAAAAGTAGAGAGAAAAGAGAATCTTTGACTTTTTGGTATG